ATTGAAAATAATAATAATAAATAGAAATAAATAAAAAATTTTTGAAAAGTTCCACAGTCCTTAAAAAATCCAAACACTTAAAAGTCCAATCTCTTTTAAAAGTCTCTTAACTGTGGACTCTTGTAAAATCCAAAACAAGTACTGTCTTATTTCAAAAGGGAAGAATCGGGCACACCTAAGTAAAACCTATGTCTAGCAAAGTAACTCAAGGCTGAACATCTGGGTTTCACTCATGATCTTCTGAGCTCCAAGGGGTTTTGGCAGCTCCACTTCTCTGACTCTGCCATCCACAGTACATACAGCTCACCTCACAGACCCAGGCCAGCTCCATTCCACACCTACTGCTGCCCTTGATGGTTTTCCATGGTCCTGGCATCTCCAAAAAGCTGGGGTCTCCACTGAAACTGAGGCTGAACCCTCACCAATGGCCTCTCTGGCCTCTGGAGTGCAATGCCTCAGATTCTTTCCATGACCCCTTCAATTCTGGGGGTCTTCACTGCACCTGAGGCTTCACTTTCACCAATAGCTTTTCCAGGCTTCTGAGGGTGCCAGCTGCTCTCTGTGACCCCTTCACACTTTCAACACCAAAACCATGCAGAAGACTCTTACACATTGCCAAGTCCTGCTTCCAGCTTGAGATAGAGGCCCTTGGGTCCCCTCTGTTCCACAGCTTCTGTGCACCAACCCTGAGGAAATACCTCCCATATTTCACCACAGCGATGCTGGTCTCTTGTTACTTGCAGCTGATTTTTCAGCCCCAGCTAACCAGCATCAATTGTCCCAGTAAAGCAAAGGTTTTGCTTCAGGTTCTGGTCTCTTCTTAATCACAGCTGATTCTTCAGCCCCAGCCGACCAGAACCTACAGATTCTCAATCTAAAATCGCACGCAAACAGCCCTGATGGTCTCCGCTTCCCTTTGAAGCTTCATAAGCCAGGCCTCCATCGTCTACAATTCTTTCGGCATAACTGTTCCAAGCTCCACAGCAACAAATTCTGCGCACTCAATGGCCTTTCCAGCCCAAAGTTCCAAACACTTCCAGTCCTCCCAAAAACACCAAGGTCAGGTCTGTCACGGCAATTCCCCACACTCTGGTACCAATTACTGTCCTAGTTTGTTCTTCATTGCTGTGACAAAACACTCTGACCAATACCAACTTGGGGAGGAAAGGGTTTATTTGTCTTACATCTCCCAGGTCACAATTCATCAGGGAGCCCAAGGTAGGAACTCAGGGCAGGAACCTGGAGGCAGGAGCTGGAGCACAGGCCATGGAGGAACGCTGCTTACAGGCTTGCTCCTTTGGCTCCTGCTCAGCCTGCTTTCTTATGCAACACAGGCCCACCTGCCCAGGGGTGGCACCACCCACAGTGGGCTGGGCCCTCCCACATTACTCATCAAGAAGATGCCCCTCAGACATGTCCACAGGCCAGTCTAATAGAGGCAATTCCCTGATTGAGGCTCCCTCAACCCAGGTGTGTCAAATTGACACTAAAGCTATCCAGCACAGTCCCCCATGAGGCTTGACCCCAGTTGTTCAGGTTTGCGCCCTCCTTCTTCCTCAGGAGAGGCCCAGCAACCACTGCTGTTCATCTCCAGAGAAGTGTATCTCCCATTAGTAACATGCAAGCGGTTATCTAACATGATCAGATGGGTTTATAACCATTCAACAAGCTAAGCCGGGTGCACACTGTATATCCGTCCCTTTTCTGCCCTTTGTCAACTTAATTCTGGATGAGGAACCACTAATCACAGAAGCCAGCAAAGCATTAGGGCCTCAAAGCCTACTCTTATTAGGGCATTCATCTACATCCAGCTAAGGTCAATTATTTATGCTTTTTGTCTCTCTTGTCTAGACAACTGGCATCAAAAACAGTTTTTATGAGGTAGAGCTGCTTAGGACAAGCCTAGTTGACTGTTTTTCATAGGTAGGAAGACCACTCAAGTAACCTGTGAAATTCAGTGTGTGGGGGTTTGGGTGTGGGGGAGAGTTATGTTCTCAATGTGCCCTGAAGCCGTAGTCCTCAGCCCTGGCTGCACATGAGAATCACTCAGAGAGCTTGTAAACTTGAAGTCCCTGGGTATAATTACCCAGACAAACAGCTGAGTCTCCAGAGGCAAGGTCCAGACGACCAGCATTTAAGCTCATGTCACCAGAGTGCAGCCAGGATGTGAGTGGCCACCCCAATACTAAGTGGTAAAGTGCTGGAGTAAGGGCCTCTCTTCCTGTTCACACCTCACTGGCCCATGACGGGGGATCCAGCGAGGGCAAGCTGGGAGAGGGGCAGAGGGATCTACTGTTTCACAGAACAAGAACAAGACAGGCCACACCAAATTCACAAAAGCACTTTTTATTTGAAGCAAAGAGAAGTCTGACTGAAAGTCAGTTCCAAGCATTTAAAATTCAACTGGTTAGTGGCACTATTTTGACTACAGATCTTGCTTCTCTTTGGTTAGAAATGGGTACTTGGGTTGAACTTCCCCGGGTGGGTTTAAGAAGAAAGGCAAAGATAGACTAATGTACTGACCCTGCTCTTCAGAGCCTACTTCAAGCTAATAAATCCTTGGTGCCTGGTCTGCAAGGTGCTGCACAGTGCCGAGGGACACAGGCTGCACAACATTTGCAAGGACAGGTGAGGAAGGAAGAACAGGTTCAAGTTGCTTGGGGAAGAGGTGGCACCCACAGCTTCAAACTTCTGAGTAGAAGGGGTAATCCTTGTGTTTCGCACAGCTGTCAGGAGAAAAGAACACATTTGCTTCAAAGGAGAGATTTTAAAAATAACATTCATTTATTTATTGTGTGTATCTGTGTAGGCGTGCTTGCCATGTGCTATGTGGAGGCCAGCAGGTAACTTGTATGAGTCTGTTCTCTCCTATGTGGGTCCTGGGGATAGCACTCGGGTCATCACAATTGGTGGAAAGTACTTTAACCCTATCTTGTTACCTTGCCAGCCCTCAAGAAAAAAATTTTGACTATAATGTCACCAACACACAGAAATGAGTGTTTCATCATGAGAAGAAATAGAAGCCTCAGGGGCAGTAAGCCAGTTTAGTCTTCAGACCACATATCTGCAGCTGAGGCAAGGTTCAGCCTCTAGGCTCCTCTGCCTCAGGCTGTCTAGGCCTAGGGCACAATGGGCAGCAAGGTCCAATTCCTGCCTCTTAGGAACTCAGGCTAGCTGACAGAATCACATATCATCTTATCATCTTTTTGTTGTTTTTGAGATAGGGCCCCAAGTAGCCATGCTGGCCTCAAATACTCTATGAAGTTGAGGGTGACCTTGAACTCCAGATCTTTCTGCCTCCACCTCCCATTCCCAAGCACAGGAATCACAGGTCAGGACACCACGCCCAGCTCACCTTATCTTGTGGAATGGCCAGAGGATGAAAACAGCAGAGATAATAACACAACAGAAGTATTTAAAAGCTGTAAGAGGCTGAATCACAAAAGGCAAGTGAAACAGCCATTGCTCCTGGTCAGAGGTGAGGATAGCTCTGGACCAAAGAGCATAAAACAGGGTCGGGGGTGTGCTGCAGGAAGGGGGGCAGGGCAAGGGCTTGAGCTGGAAGAAAATGGCTAGAACATACAAAGACTGGCCAGGCAGGGAGTCAAAGACTATACACAGGAAAAGGGGGAAAAGCCAAGAAACCCTGCAATAAAAACTAGAGACAACAGACAGCACCAAGCAGGTCTCTGATGGCTCCCACTGCTTGCAGTGGGGCGGGCAGGAAGGAGGGAATGGAACTTAAGAAAGGGTGGAAAGAGGGGATGCTAAGCACCTGGGGCCAATGGTAAACCAGGCCTGGGGTATATTACTCTTATTGAACATTCAAACCATTCACGAGCTCGCCACTGGTCTGCCTCTCTTTGCATCCCAAGGAGTGAGACACCAGCAGCACAGGCTCAGTGCAGCAGATGTGCCACTGGGAAGGTTGGTATGTGGAGTGGGAGGTCTTGGAGTGTTAGAAGTAGCCTCTTCCTCTCCACACCAACCCCCACCCATGCCCATCCAGCATTACTAGTACACACTGACCTGGAAGGTGCAAGGGAGGTGACTGTATGTGAAGGGATCAGTTAGAAAGCACAACGGTTTGCCAGCTTTAATGTAATGTCAAGCAGTGGCAGGGGAAAGAGAAGACTGAGCGACCACCATAGGTCCTAAAAGAATGGATGCCACCAGTGGGTAATCCACTTCTCTTGTCCACTATATCCAAAAATGATTTCCATGTAAAAAGGTTAAGTGCCATTAACATAAGCAGGAACAAACAGAAAGGGTCCTGGTTGGGATGCCTGTGCTGGCCGTCTGTGGTCTATGTAGAACCTGAGGTCTGTGTGTCAGTGACCTGGTCATAGGCAATCTTGGCCTGAATTACAGAAGTTACTGACCAAGACACGCATGATGCAGAGGCTGTAGCCACCACATGAACTCTGAGTTACATAGAGAACAAAGCAAGAGCAAGAGGTGTGAGCAAAAATGGAGGCTGGGATGAGAAGGTGGGCATTCATGCCCTCCTAGGGATATAGCACGTGCTTCTTAAAGATAGAACGAGTTAACTTTGTTATTAAAGTGGTAGGAAAATTAAAAGCAGAGAAAAAAAAATCAAACCTCATTTCAGAGAGAAGAGAAGGAACGAGCAAAGGCAAAGCTCAAGGGCCCTTGGCAACTCTGGGTGGCATTCGAAGAGTCCTGGGGCTTTGTGGTGTCAGAGCTGGGGTTGTCCTGACCCCAGCACCAAGTTCTTACTAAACCCCTTTATTAGGGTCATTAAGACAAGTTACACATAAATTTTTCTAGGAAGGTGGGTACCAGATGAGCCCTGGGATCAACTGAGTTCAGAACAGACACTAAGATTGAAAGTTGGGCCAAGTGTACTCCTGGGCAGGAGGAGACCCCAGGGTAGGCCTCTGGGCAGGCCAGTCTCTCCTTGCTTTGTGCAGTGCTTCCTGCTCAGCATGGATTAGAAGGCAAGGTCAGGAAGGGCTGTGAGGGAAGACCCAGCCTCTGGGTCTGCAGACATGGCTCTTGTTCTACAGCATGCGGTGACATGGAATGGGTTCTCACACTAGGACTCACTAACCTCATTAAGGCACACACTCTCCAGTTCCTGTTGTAGCTGAGTAAGGTGGTCATGTCCTCGCTGCTCAGCTTGAAGTCAAAGACCTTACATATACACAAAAGAAAAAAGCCAGTAAGCTCAGCAATAAAAACCAGAGGCAATACCATGCAGTCCCAGATGGTTTCCACGTCTGCAGTGGGGAGGGCAGGGAGGGAATGGAACTTAACATGTTATATTACTCCTCAGAGGATGCAGGCTTTTCAGTTATGTCTGAAATAGTTCTCTTCCAGAACTTCTGAGCAAAAGGGCACTGTGCATTTCAGTCCTTTTCACACTCCTAAGCAGTTCTACTGAGATAAGTACCAGGGAAAATTATGATGATGAGTAAGCTGCCTTCGCCTCCCTCCATTCACCATGAAGCAGAGGACGGAGGTACTTCAACAGCTGGAATAGCAGGAATACTTCTTAACCTGTGACAAGCAGCGTGAGATGGGAACAGAGCCCTTGGGCGAACTAGAGGCAATGGATGCCAGCTGGGGCCCTGCAGGCCAGAGGGAAGCTGGTGTGTGAGACAGCCTAAGAGAACACAAAAGGTTGTGACAGAGAGAGCAAGGTAGACTGGGCAGAGAGAGTCACTTCCATGAAGGCAAGAGGACACAGGGAAGAATTCAGTGTGCATGGTGGGCAGGTAGGCAGGAAGGCCAGCTGTCCACAGTAGCACTGGGGCTGGGGCACAGACCCAAATTCAGAATGTGGCTTTTGGAGACCATAAAATGTATAGAACAACTGTCTGCTGCACACACCTGTGATTATAGCCATGGAAAAATATGCAAACAATGCACAGTAAATGAACAGAAACAGGGCAGCATTGTGAGATCAGTCATCCACATTTTTTTCCTTTTCTAATACTTTAAGAAATGAAATATAAGACAATGGATCCATTTCTGGTAGGACAGGACTTTCTTAGTATTTTTTATTTTAACTTGAATGGCTGAGACCTCTGTACATAAAAAGAATAGCGTCTTCTGTTCTTTGTAAACTTCTTCCCTGCCCAGGAGTCACCCACATCCCAGTCTCTTTACACAAGTGGCATGGTTATAGCCTCACTATCCGGCTACTGGGACCAGGTGGGACCAGCTGATTGCTATGTACTCAGAGGCACCTTGAAGCTGAGCTACCGCCTACAGGAGAACTATGTGGGGCTGGTTGCCTTGAATCAGACCTCAGGTAAAGACAGAATGTCCCAGCTGGAGTTGCTTTGCTCATGGAGGACAGAGGCTCCCAAGGCACCAGGACCATCCTGGAGCAGCAATTCTTCCAGCAGGCCCTCTAACCACACAGCCTGAGCTGCTCTTGGGCACTCTGAATGCCCAAACCCCTGGTGCCCAGACATTCCCATGCCCTGTTCCTGACTGCTTAGGTACTTTACAGAGACAGTGGGTTAGTGTGTGTCCTTGGAGGGCCTGACAGTCCATGGACTCACCATCAGTACCAGTTCCCTGAGCACTTACTGTGGTACCAAGCACTATGAAGTGCTATGTGCACAACACCTAATTTAATCTTGACAAAATAAGTATTATTTTGAGTACAGTCAAGTGACTTGTCAAACATGATACAGCTGTTAACTAATGGAGGACAAGGGCAAAACTCAGGCAGTCAGGGCAAACACTCAATGTCCGTGAGGAGCTTCAGCAAGGTGTGTGTGCGTGCGCATGCGTGTGTGTGTGTGTGTGTGTGTGTGTGTGTGTGTGTGAGTGTGTGTGTGTGTGTGTGAGTGTGTGTGTGTGTGTGTGTGTGTGTGTGTGTGTGTGTGTGTGATGAAGCATGAGGCTCATCCCTAGGACAGGAAGCCCACCAACAGGGGGTGACTATCTCAAGGCTCACCACAAATCACTGAGGTTGACTGGTTCTGAGGGTAGAACGGTGGCAGGGACAAGGGGTCCCACAGACATGATCACCCAGAGACAGGACAAGGAGCCCTGAGCACTCCCCCTCAACACATACACTAAGGAAAGCCAGGCCTGCAGTTGGGATTTTACCTTAAAGTTCTCAGCAATGCGTGCTGGTGTCACAGACTTGGGAATCACCACCAAATTCCTTTGTATGGGGAAGCGGATCAGCACCTGTGGACCCAAAGAGGTGCTGAGTCTGCACACACAGCAGGTACTCTGCATTATCATCTCACTTAATCATAAGCACGCATAACTTGATCGACAGGCTACAACTGCACAGGTAAGAAAAGGGAGGCTCAGAGATGTTCAGGTTGCATCCATGGTAGGGGTCAAATCCAGATCCAAATCCTACTCTAGACTCCTGCTCTATCAGTGGCTCTAGGTATACCACAAGGCCATAGTTAATGGTCACTGCCTGGTACTCACACTTCCTCAAGGGAGAAAAAGAACATTGCCCACAAGCAAATAAGAGCTCTTCTATTTGTACAGAGATGAGCTTCTAGGAAAATCAGTAAATGCTGTGTCAACGCCTGGGCAGTCTATAAAGGCAGTAGGGACAGAGACTATTACTCTAAGACCACATGGCAATCAATCTTCTAAAGCCCTAATCTGTGCCCTTAACATTGTATTCTAGGACAACGAACTGTCCTTCCACAGAAGGCTTCCCGGGCTCAGTCACCTCCCACTGCTTGCTAACAGGTATGACAAAGAATGCAGAGAGTTCTGGGAACAGTCACGAGTGCCTGGAGATGTCCATACCTGTGCTGTTGTTTTATTGTACTTGTTTGCAATCGTCTTGATCCTGGGATCCTCCAAGATAGAAGGGTCCTCAGGCTTGGCCCTGGAGCACAAAGATGGTAGATCAACCATCTGGTCACCCCAGTTCTGACCCCCGCCCCGGCAACTTTTAAGTGGCTGACCAGGCTCTTAGCCTGAAGGTGGGTCATGATTCACCTGCTGACCCTTTGCAAAAGAGTGCTTAACTTGATGCTAGAAACGTCAGCCTCCCAGGAAACCCAGAGACTCTGGGGAAGGTCTGCATAACAGCCAGAAGCACTCTCTGTGATGTTCGATCTTTCTTTTTAGCCATTTCTGAACTCCAACAGTGAAAGAGAACTTGACCCCATGGAAAGCTCACCAGGGCCTGTCAGGAGAACCCAGGGGACTGTAGGCAGTCACCACGATGCCTTTGGAATGGCAGTACTGGATCAACTTCTCCTGAGTTAGGTATGGGTGGCACTCAATCTGCAAACACAGGCAGAGGGTTGACTGTGGCAGTGGACATAAGCGTATGTGATATGGTCAAGGTTTCCTCAGGCTAAGTTCCTTCTCTTCCCACACAGAAAATGTCTGTTTTCCAGATAAGCTGTAACAACTTTCTACGCTTCCCATCTGGTGGCCTTCACATTAAGAATAATTTTGTTACCAATGTTCCAGGGCCATAAGCCCTCAAGGCTTTCTCTGGCCTTAGCCACTAATCGACTATTTCAAGCCTGGGGCTCTCACTGGCTGCCCCTGATAATCCCAGAAGCCATATCATCACTAGCCAGCTGCAAACCCTCTCCCTACAAGCTTCCACTTCCATATGTGCCCATCATGATAAACCAGATTTTAGGATTGGCCTCCTGGCCACTCTCTCGGCAATGTGGACCACAGGTAAGAGCCAAGATTAGGTGAGAAAACTGCATACTGACACTTGGTACCAGGTACCCTGGGGGAGCCTTACCTGGTTAACTGCAGGCTTATATTTTAAGCCAGGTTTGTTTAAGATCCTCTCAATCTGGACAGGGTTGAAGTTGGAGACACCAATTGATTTCACCAGACCTTCATCTACCAGCTGTTCCATGGCCTAAAAAGGAAAGGGAGGTCTGTTTGGGCGCTGGCATGAAGTCCCCCAAAAAACAAGGATCAGAAGCACCTTTTGTAGCAGTTTAACACCTGTGCCCTCCCCATTCACTGCCAGCCCTTCAGACCTTTCAGAAGCCGGGAGCAGAACACGGAAGCTAGGCTGGCTTTCACGAGACTAAGCATGGAGACAGGATCATATATATGAGGTAAGAGGTGGCAGAGCAGATCACTCATACCTGGCTCACATGAAAGGGCAAGATACCAGCAATGAAGGATAAGGGTCCCAGCCAGGGTCATCTTACCGTCCAAGTGTCCACAAAATCAGTGTCACTGGGAATCACATTGCCCGACTCATCCAGTGGGAAATACTCAGACCCAGCCTGTCATTAACAAAAAACAAACACATATACTCAAGTTAAAAAAAAATGCAACTCAAACACACAGCTATCAATAACGATTTGTCACAGACCTATTAGGGACTTCTGTCTATAATAATCATTCCAATCTCTCATCATTGGCAAGCTGTGGAAGATGACACGAGGCACATCTGGCAGCCAGTACAAAGGAAACCAGCAGGCAACCCCGGATGGGGGTTCTTGTCAAGGCTGGAGCTGTGAGACTGTCTGAGGGAGACACCTCTCAGTTGCTGTGATTAAACCTGTCTTGGAGGACAGTGTGCAGACAGGGAAGAGACTCAAGGCTTGAACTCAGAGGGTCCAAGAGTCCTAGTTGGCTAATGGGCTAATAAAACTGTCACCTTGCCCTGCCCCCTCAACGGGCTTATCATAAAAGATAAAAAGTGAGAATCAAGTAAGTCTGTCTGGTCCCAGTAGGATAAAAGCCACATATACCAACTGTGCAACCATGCAGAAAATGTAGTGATTCTGAGTTGTGCTGTATACAGAACCAGACTGTGAACACATACTTACATAAGACAGAGAATGCATGTGCAGTGTAGGTACAAACATGTATGGGTGAACATGTGTGCATGTGCCTGGAGGTTAGGGAGGGCAGCAGGGGCTGACTGCAGCTATGGCCGTGTGCTATGAAGACAACAGCAGCCATGTTAGCCAGGTTCACTGCCACAATGAAATTCTAGAAGCACAAGTGAAAACAGGAGTGCCCCCCCAACTCCTAAGGGTGCATGAGAGTTACCCATGGCTCAGATGGCGTAGGTGGGGCCCGACGCTGGTCTCTAACACACTCAATGCTGGCATCACTGCTAGTCTCAGAGCCAATGTCAAGCAGCAGTGACAGGGAGTCTACCACACACAACATGCCAACAGGAAGGTGAAAACTGCACCTGAGCCACAGGAACTGGGTTGGAGCCATGCCCCTTACCTTGAAGCCTGTGGGCCAGTGAATAAGATAGAGGTCCAGGTAGTCCAGCTTCAGGTCGCTGAGCGTCTTCTGGAAGGCCCCTTTCACCATGCTCTTGTCGTGGAACGTGCACCACAGCTGAAGCCAGCAAAGGCAAATCTTATCCCTCCTGCCACACAGACGCTGCTTCCTGGCTGGAAGCCAGGCAAGTCCGAGCCAGAGGACACTCTCCTCTCCCCACAACCACCATGCTGTGAGTGGCTGGAGCTTCAGGTTCACACTGTGGACCCCAACTTTCTCAAGGCAATGGGATGGACAGGTCAAGGACACCTCACAAAGACCAGACAGAAGGCCTAACTACAAAATGGACAGGCCAGCCAGCTGCTGGTGCTCAATGCGTGTTCCAGGCCTATTTCCCTGCCAGGCTGGTCTACATGATGCCAGCATCACTTCTAATCTATGTTCCTTTGTGCACCAACAGCCTCCAGCTAAAAATAGAGGCCAATGGTGGAGACCCAGGCTGTGGACAGGAAGCAAGTATCGTCCTTCAAGTAACTCCTCTGAAAGGGAGCACATCCCCTCGGCCAGTCTCAGCATGGGGCTCTAACCCACATGTCTAACAGACAGATGCAGGTGGGCAAGCAACAGGTTCCTCTGCAGACTCAAGTAACAGGGCCTGAAAGAATCCCTGGCCCAAAGCTAACTGCCGCTGTGTTAAGAGTATGGCTTTGGCTCTACAACTGAGTCACCATTGGGTAGGTGTGGATCAGCCCCAAGGCCCCAGAATCCTCAGATTGTACCTTGCTGACGATGAAGAGCTCCTCGCGTTTCACTGCCTGCTCATTGAGTTTCTCCTGGAGGGCCTCCCCTACCTCCTTCTCATTCTGGTACACCTGGGCACAGTCGATGTGGCGGTACCCAATGTCAATTGCAGCCTTCACAGCCTCGGTCACTTGGCCCGGAGGGGACTGAAGAGGAAAGAATGTAAGCCATGCTATTAAAAACAAAACGGGGCAGAGTTTTCACAAAGCCCTGGAAGCGGTACAGTGGGAACCAGTGGTTCTGGATCAGGCTCCTCTTCTTCGATGTTGGGCCAGGTAGCTGGCATACAGTTATAAGGCGGTCCCCACACAGGGATCAAGGTGAAATGACCATTACTTCACCTCAGCAGAACCTGACAGCCACTTGCCAGCAGCACTCTGAGGCCTGGGGTAAAGGCATAAGCCTAGAACTCTGGAGGCAGGAGAATGAGGTTTAGATCATACTGGGCTACACAGTGATTCTATGTCTCCAAAAATGCCCTACTATCTGAAATTTAAGGTAATAAAGGACACCATTTCATTCAAATAGTTCAAGATAATTTTTAAAATACCTGTATCATTTACTCAGTCCCTACTGAGTTCCTGAATTTTGTCAACAACTTTCTGCCTTTTTCTTTCTTCTCCTAAGTATGCTTTCAGACGCAGCAATCACTTGTGTTTAAGCCACTCTGGGAGATTATCATGTGTCGAGGGCCTTACTGATGCTGATTCCAGAATCTGCTATAGGAGGCAGACACAGGGAGATGGCCCCTCACAGGGATCAGCAGGCAGAAATGAGTCAAACAGGAACCCTGGACTATTACCATCTGAGTCCCAGAAAGGAGTGGGAAGCTCTGCCATTGGGGAGGAGAAGCCTGCAAGGCTCCAAGTTCCACCAGCACCCAGACTGCACAGCCCCATGCCCTATCTCCTTGCAGCTCCTGCTTAGATCAGAGAGCTGAGCAAGGACAATGTGTGGGATGCTCTGCTGAATGAACAGAGCGCATTCCTTTGGAGAGCTGGGGCAGAAACAAATGAAAAGGAAACACCCCAGGGTCATCAGCAGCTGCAGACATCTGTTGTTTTGCCTAGAGCCTTTGTGAAAAGAACAGTCTGGGGGGAAAGCACCGAGCACCAGAACAAGTTCATCACCCTCAACTCCCTACCTTCCCTCCCCTCAAGGGAGCAATCTGCCTGGTCGAACGGCCATGGCACCCACCCTCAGGTTCAAGTCACCATTTCCACAAGGGCTTCACCTTTGGGCAACCTCCCCTTTTCCTGGAGGACCTAAGAGGCTGCACCTGTGGCTTCTCTACCCCCTTGTAGATGAGGAATCTCAGCATAGGCAGGGGAGGACTCCTCTACCTCAGGCTCTCTGGAGCACCTGAAGGCAGCCATGGTTGATGCCGGCTACGAGAGGAGAGCATACCACTACCTAAGAAAGACAACAAAAGAGGGGTTTGGTAGGTTGGAGTTTTGTCTCACAGCATGTGCTGAACCTTCTTTAGAATTCAGGTACCTTCACTTGCTCTTAAGAGGCCCTTCTGCTTGCCCTGTAGTGCACCTGTTCAGGGCCTGGCAGCACCTGGCCTTGGATAGAGCTGAGGGCACAAGGTCCAGGTTAGGCAGAGCCAAACAACATCCATCACAGCAGCTCAGGCAAAGAAGAAACTTGACCCGAGCCAGGATATGAGACTCCATCTCTGGATCTGAACTGGCCTGCTGAGGAATTCTCACTCTGTGGGGTCCCTTACTGGGATCATGTGGACTTGCAGCTCCCTTCGCGTCCCTAGAGAGAATCCTAGTGACCTAATTTTTAACCCTAAATCTCAATGTGTGAATTTAGTGATTGTCATCTGTGCATTCAATGAATCCTCATCCCAACACACACTTTTGTGTTTGTTTTCTGCTATGGTTCACTTGGTTTTTCTGTTCCTTGGAACCAAGGCTGCAGGACCACAGCAAGGCTTCCAGACAACTGACACAACCGGAAAAGGAAAAGGAAAGATCTGATTTGTATGATGCTCTCATAGAAAGACGAAGACAGACAAAGGCTACACGCAGTCATGGAGAACTACTGCTCCACACAGGGATGCGTGCTGGCAGCTTTCTAAACAAGGTTTCAATCTGCCACACTCATGGGTCTCTGACAGAATAAGCTTCAGGGAAAACCTACAGAACCATCACAATGTGCCACCTTATGCGTCCAACCCAGTCACAGCACAGTGCACTTTCCATTGTTAGATCCAGAGAACTCAATTTCACTTCATTTGACAGTGTAGTAATATAAACAGCAATTCCAAGTGGTAAAGACTGACCCCTCAAGAATGATCCTTTCCCCAGCCTTATCACACTGAGAAAGCACTATCAACTGGCTGATATTTTGCATCAAACTCCAGAACCCAGGTTGGCAACAACACTAACAAAACCTGTTCGACTGTAATAAATCAATAAATCTGTCCTAAATTTTAAAACTTCTATCTCTACTCAGTAGAGATGCGGATCTAGGACTGGCTGTACTTGAGCAGGATATATCTGACTATCTTTGATCCTGAAGAGGGAGAGGTGGTGGTGGACTTTGAAGGAAAACAAAGAAGCAAAACCCGCTACAGCTTAAGAATGGCATGTGACCCTCCCTGTAAAAAGACTACAGGACATAAACAGATGTACAGTACTACCTGAGATATTAAAATTTGGTTAAGGTACAATTAGGCAGAAAACACCTCAAAATGTTCCTGAGTGGGAGGGGCAGAAGGCACTAAATGAAAAACAAAAAACTGAGAACACAGTTGTACCTCCAGCCTAGGGGCATTCCTAGCCTATGTGCGCACATGACAATAACCAGGCCTAAAAGATTTTGAAAGTAGGTCAAAAACACTGTCCATAGCAGGATGCTGATCTATTATCAGAGATTAGCTCTGTCTTAAAGGCCTCCGGACTGTGCAATAATATGGGTGTATTTGCTGTCCAGCGAGGAAGGAAAACCAGCCAGGAAGAAATTCTGTCCAAGCAAGAGGGTCTCTCAACTGCCTGAAATCCTCACCTCTAAGGAGAAAAGGGAATTTGAGCCCCTTCAAGGGAAGAGTGGACCATAGGCTGCCAGAGCTGTTGTAGGAGGGTACAACACAGCCCCTGGCATGGTTCCATAAGAACAAAGAACAGCACCGTGGGTCCTTTCCTGTGGCTGTCACAATGACTACACCTTTATCCTGCATCTATGAAAGAGTTTTTTTTATATATATATATATATATATATATGTATATGCAGGGAAAGTATTAAGTTGACACATTCTTTGATAGAAAAAGGAAATCTTCTCCAAGCCTGTATTAACTGGTTTATTTCACCTCTATCCCCTCCCCACTCCCTTACCTTTCTATACCAACCTCGTCTCAATCCCAGAATCACAAGTGGGCATTTTTACTACAATTTCCTCTACAATTCCTTTCTTCATATTTATCTAACACATAACTTTGGGATACCTTGTATCTGCCAGGAACCATGGGAAGTGACAGAAGCCAGAATAATTTAAACATTCAGATTTTATGCTATTTTAAACAAATAACCAGTCTCTTTGGGGCTGTTGCATGCTCAAACATTTGCTTTATGAAATTTTGCTCCTTTTTTCCCCTGAAAAATGATGGATCACAAAATTCTTTTCTATAGTTAAGACCATGATTTTGGGACAAATGGAATAGAATTATCAGAATCCAACCCACATTGCAAGGTTAAGTATTAGTTGTGAAACTTTTTCAGCAGTTACATGTGTGCTGCGTCACACAACTGTATTTACTGGAGCAAAGAAACCATCTTATTCCAACACATGGAATTCAACCTGGTATTATGGCTGTAGTTCAATTACGCCCTTCAAGAACACTTTGAAAGGAAACACGTTATACACAGTGACCACACTGGCCTAGAAATACTTTCAGAGAAAATCTATAACCCAGTTATTATTCACCTTAAGACATATTTCAACAGAAGTTTGGGTAGAAACCACCTCTGTCCGGTTTCTATATGAACTCAGTCCTGCTTGTTTTTCCTCTTCCCTTCTCTGCGGGTAAATACTTAAAGCCCAGACCCATATTCAAGATTCCTGTCAAAGAAAAACTCAGGCCACAGCAGGGAGATGTAAAACAGGCTACCTGCCAGTTGCCCTACAAAGGGCTTAAAAAGCCTGGGTTTTTCTCAGCTTCCACTGAACACCTGTTCCTCGGATGTCACTTTGAGTTTTAGAATTGGTTTCATGCCACGTTCTCTCTTTTTCGTATCTCTCTCTGACTTGTGCTGTTGTGTTAACCCGGCTGTGCGGTTTTGAGGTTTTGGGGGTGTTCCCCTGGAACCCTCTATTTAGCAGATGGCAGCATCCAGCAATGCGGAGGGCAGATTCTCAGCGGAGCTTCTCACCCGCGGGGGCAGAGGCCTTGCGGGATAAGGAAGCAGCTGGTTCGCGGCAAACTCCTGCCTCCTAATTTAATCAGCCGAGTCTACCGGCTTATTCCACAGTGCGCGACAACCCACGCGTGAGTCTGGGGAGCCACAGGCGCCTGCGGAGCTGGGGCCCGGCTCCGCTCTCTGCTTCCGGGCTCCCGAGGGTGGGTCTCCTGCCCCTGCGCACGCCCGCCCGCCCGCCTGGCACGATGCTGGGCCTCAGACCCACACTTGGGATGCGCAGGGCGGGCCAGCGCCCCGTCGGATCCCCGCAGGCCCCGCCACCCACGCCCCACAGCCGCTCGGGGTCACTCGGGGCCACGGGTCCCGGAGTGGGAGGCAGGCCCCGCGCCCTCGACGCACCCACCTTCCAGGTGCCCAGGCCCAGGGTAGGCATCTTGGCGCCGTTGTAGAGCTCCAGGTGGTCGGCCATGGCTACTGCTACGCTTTGCAGACACGGAGCACGCGAGCGAGCGGCTCGCACGCGCACCTTAAGAGTCCCACCAGCCTGCAGAAAGGACGCCTGCGATTGGCGCGCGGCTGAGTGACTGCGCCTTCTGATTGGTCGGGGCCGGGGTCCTGGGGGGCCGACGAGGCTGCTGCTCCCGCTAGGTCCTAGCGGCACGGAATTCCCCAGCAGCTGGTCTACGCCCCACGTGGCGTGTTTGCGGCTCCAGAAAGTGAACGTTCTAAAAATAACCGGTACCCTATAAATAGAAGTTTTGGCTTCATTTTAAAGCCCAGAAGAATAAATTTGCCTCTTGTCCTATCCCGGGATTGTACTTTTCTGGAATCTAGTATCGTGCTCCGTATCTACATGGAACAGACTGCGAGTGTATTTAAGCGTACCTTTTTTTCTTAGACCAAAGTGTAAAAATGGCTTTTCAGAATACCACGAAATTTAGGGGTCCCCAGTCTCTGTGTCTCGTTTTCTAGCGAGATTTTTATAGCCTATTCTTGGTGTCTGCGCACTCAATTCGATTCAACAAGCGATGCTACAAAATCCAGCAACCTCTAAGGTTAGGAAACGCTCCCAAGCTTGATCCAGAGCACAGGAAAGATTTTGGGAAGTAAGACTTGGCATTCAGGATCAGTAAGACTGAACATTCATTCTGTCTTTGGAAAGTAAGACCGAAGTGGCAAGTTCAATTTAGCCACACTCTCTGGAAGAAGAAAGTAAATAGGCAGACTCCCACAAAAGGAAAAAGCCCATTTTGACAGTGCATCTTCCAAGTTAAGGGAAACTCAATAATAATTGATCAGCTGTATTCGACAGGTAGGAAAAACAGTATTTTCCAAGATAATCAAAGTTGCTCCAAGAAGCAAGGAGGCAATTTTGGTATTCTCCCAATACCTCTATCTGTGATGCTCTGCCCATCCCAGCCTCCTCCTCTGTCAGGCACCAATCCCCCACCCCACGCCCTACTCCCATTACACAAGATTGGGAATTATGCAAGAGTGGCGATTGCATGTGCCCAGGAATGATTCAGGAACCAGACCTCCAAATTTCATTCTGGTAATTTTCCATTTGATGCTTTCTTTAAAAATGATACCACATCCCCACCCCAGGAAAATTTACACAGACCAAACTAGACCAGACCAGACCAGACCAGATATTTTCCATTTGACTTTTGTAAAAACTGTTGGCATGGGGAAATTTTGATGTTATTTTCTCCTAAATAACAGAATTTGAATTTGAATCTTATGCTGAGAACTTGGTTTGTGTAAGACAGCAGACCATCTGGCCTACCAGTCTTTCTCTGTAAAATCCCTCCTGACATAGAGACTTCTGTGCCATTTCATGGAACTCCCAGGATTAAGACAAAAGGATTAAGATACAACCAGCCTGGTTGTATAGGGAGATCCTATCTCAAAAGAGAAAAACAACAACAAAACCTGTATCTTTAATGACAGGGGGTCTTCAAAGAAGGGTCATTGTGAAGTAGGGAAATGCACTCAGTATCAAAGACTTTATTATTCAAAATAAACTACATAAAAGGTTGACTGGCAAAGACTGAATATTTTGCCTGGGTGGTGCAAATGTGCAAAGACATACCTGTGGAATTCTGACAGCAATATTTTAAAGTTTAGATCCATTATCACAATAGTCCTCTGATAGCCCATGTTGCTTTTGTAATCTTTGTAAAATGTTATTGTGTACATAACAAAATTTCTTTAGGGATGGTGAGGTGGCTCAGAAGTTAAGAGCACTGGCTGCTCTTGCAGAAGACCTGGGTTCAGTTCCCCCATGGCAGCTAAGAAGGGTCCCTAATTCCAGTTCTAGGGAATCTGATGACTTCTGGCCTCTGTAGGAACTGCATGACACAGGTGCACTTACATACATACAAACAAAACATGCATACACATAAAATAAAACTAAATAATAAATTTTATTTTTTTCTTTAAAAGAGAATATAAAAACCCCTTTAAGAGAATCTTATGAAAAACACTCCAGTACTTGAAAGCCTAACATATTCTGCCAATACTCTCCCATCATGGAGATTACTTCCCAAGAAAATAACTGAAAAGGAGAAAATACACACACACACACTCCTATACTATACACAGAGTGCTACTAGACCCAGTGAAGCAAAGAGGTACATGGATGTGAATTTTCATACAAGAAGTGGGTACTCCCTGAGCTTTTATTTCCTGGACACTTTCCTTCCCCTACTTAGTCCTAACACTGCTCACACACAAATGAAAACTAGTCCTATGCGTATAAAGTCGAGATGGGGCTACAGGGAGACCCTGTCTCAAAAAGATGGGAAAAAAACACCCACAAACAAATAAAAGAAAAAAAACTTTTAAAATAAGACAGGCTTGGCCTTTAGTCTCAGCACGGGGGAGGCAAGAAGCAGGCAGATCAAGGCCAGCCTGGTCTCCATAGTGAATCCAGGCCAGCTGGGGCTACAGGGCGACCCTGTCTCAAAAAAACTTTTAAAGTGTATTAGTTCAAAGTCCTACTGAAAAATACCCATAACAATAGATATGTGAGTTCGTGTGTATAGCTGAAGGCTATACTCTCCCTGGAGAGTAGCTCTGGTGTCAGAGGACACTATTGTAAGCTGCCAAAGGGGAAAAAACTAATCAATGGTCCTACTCTAACTGTAAAGCCTAATAAACAATGACTGGCCCAACGAACTATCATTATTGGAACAGTATTGGCACTTTTATCTTGAGGGTAAACAAACAACTGTTTATTTGGAGCTAAGATCCACTCAAGGCAAAAGAAGTCATAGATCCTAAAGAAAAACCTACTTTTGCCACATCCCTAGATCAATGTAAATTCTTACTATATTCCAAATATGCATCCTTATATTTACAGACAAAAGTACCTTTCACCACTCATCAAAGAAGCTACTTTTTGCAACAGATGGAGACTATTACAAAGTTATTCAACTGGTCAAATACAGAGAATAAATGTCTGTGAGACCCTTTACCTTAAGTGACACATCTTCAATGCAACCTATATATGAAAGATGAATGCACCTCTCGACTCTCACCAGAGAAGTTTCCTTATGGAGCAGATGGTGATTAACACAGAACTGGCCAATGTGTAGAGAACAAGAGACCACAGAGTGCTTATTCATGAATAGGACATCTGTATCAAACCTCTGCCTCCTAAGACTCAGGGATCATTGCAGAAGAGGCGGCGAAAAGATTGTAAGAGCCAAAGGTGGTAGATGACCACAGGAAACAGAGCTTCCCAGACAGGTGGTCAGTTGTACATATGAACTCACAACAATGTGACAGTATGCACAGTTCCCATGCAAGCTCAAGCCAGACAAAAATCCCAGCATAGACATGGGGAAGTGGGTAAGAAATCCCAACCCAACCTAAGGAACTTTTGGCAACTGATGGCTGCTGGGAGGGGGAGAGACAATCTCTTTCAAGGATGGGACTGTTGGCAGGTTAACTAGACTCGAGTGGATGAACCCACATTGAAGGACATTTGGGGGACACAAATCAGATTCTATAGAGTACATTAAATCCAGCAGGATTGGGCAATAAGGGGAAGTGCAGATAGGGGAGGAGATCAAAATACCATCAAATTATATTGTATGAGAATCACAAAAAACATAAAAAAATTAAAAGACAACCTGCTTTTAACTGTCCAGATGTACACAGTGTAAATCTTGATTCCCTTACCTACCCTAGCATTCATGGTACTGTGAAATCTCATACAACTCTGTGACTGTACTACAAACCACTGAACTATATACTTTTAAAAGGTGAATTATAAGGTATGTGAATTATACCCCAATATAGCAGCTATGAATAAACCAGCCAAGGTTATATTCTCTCTCTCTCTCTCTCTCTCTCTCTCTCTCTCTCTGTCTTCACTTCTGCCCATCCATCACAATGTTGCCCTGAGAACACCTGTTGGTCTTTTGGGACAGGGATACAGGGCATGGCAATGAAGGAAGGAGGCAGAGGTCACAGGGTACCCAGATGGCCTTAGTCCTAGCCTTGAGGGAGATGGTATTCAAAGATACAGGAAACCGGTCTGCTAGGGAGCTGGCTCTGGTAAGTCAGTATCTGTTCAGGCTTGTCAGGCCAGGTATAGAGGGCAAACATCATGAGTTAACTGTTGGTATTATGTCCTCCTACTAGAGAGCAGAAGATAACAGAAGATGACTTTTAAAAAATTTATATTGCATTTGTTTGTTTGTTTGTTTGTTTGTTGTTTGTTTAGAGAGGGAATAGATGGTGTGCATGTGGAGGTTAGAGAACGGGCTTGTGGAAATTGGTTCTTTCCTTCTACCATGTGGGTTTCAGGGATTGAACTCAGGGTATCAGACTTGGTGGCAAGTGCTTTGGTGGCAAGTGCTTTGGTGGCTGTGACAGAGCCATTTCACCAGCCCAGCAGAAATGACTTTGAAGCTAGTCTAATTTGGGAGGTACACCTAGGGCATTCATGACTGTGATTTAACTGACAACTGTTAGGATGCTCTAAGGGCTGTGGCTCTGTGGCTGAGAACCTCAGGAATCTGGCATTTATCATTCAGTGAGAGCCTCAGGTTTCCTGGTGTTGAGAGTTACACAGTGGTACAGGAGATTAGGTCTTTCCCACAAATAGTAAACACCCTGCCTCTGATTTAGGAATAGATTGGTGAGATGATGGAACTCTCTACTGATGGAGTTGGGGTGTCTGGATTTTGGGTGGGCGCTGTTAGAGGCCACTGAGCCAGATGCAAAACCAAAATGCTACTGACTACAGAATTGCTAGCATGTGTCTTGGCATTGTGTATGTGTGTACATAGGTGTTTGTGTGTGTGAGGGTGCATGTGTGTGTGAGAGTCCATAGAAACCAAGAGTCAACCTTGGATGTAGCTGCTCAGGTACCATCTACCCTGTTGTTTGAGAAAGGGTGTCTCACTGGGAGCTGAGGTTCCCTGATTAGGTAGGGTGGTTGGCCAACAAATCCCAGGCATCTGCATCTCTGCACCTCACCAGTGCTGAGAGTACAAGTGTACACCACCACACCTGGCCTTTTACATGGGTGCTGGGGACCGAACTCAGG